CATATGCTTTTACTGCATATGGAGAATATAGTTGTGAGTAGATTCCGGGAGGCATTCTGCTTAAACCACTGAGGGAGAGATCTGCATCCATGGAAATTAAGGTAGGCAGAAGATGTCTGAAGACACAGATTCTCAGTCTGCTTTGGACATATATATAGACACACTCCTACAGTGCATTTTTTGAGGTTTTTTAAGTGTAGCTGGTACTTGTTATGACACAGGGAGCAGGGAACCATGAATACAGCCAGAAACACACATAAAGACTACACAAATATAGGTTTACAGTTCTTGATTGCCAGATATACTCTATAAATAATATGATGAAGACACAAATAACACTAAAATGTCTGACTTTGTTTTTGTTTTTTAATCACTCTACCTACCTGTTTAATCTGTACAAAAAACAGACTAGATGCCAGCCATGTCCTTCTCCCGCTTAGCTATAATAGGTGGCTGTATATTTACGCTAGCTACTACTGAGGTTATTATTGAGCGAGCCTACTGCACAAATAATAATAACATGAGAATAACAATACATTTAGCAATAACACAAACAAAACAAATATTAACTTTATTGTTATTATTAACCTACAGAGACAGTCATACTGTTGCATGCAGTGAGACACAGGCCTACACACATACTCTCACTCTCTCACACACACACACACACACACAGGCATGCAAAATTGCAGATATTTGTGCCAGGTCTTTTCAATCAGGGTTTAATGTGCTGTGAAGGAAGTAGACCATGGTTGATATGACTGGCCATCTGTAAATGGACTGAGTCATATGAACTTAAACTGTTAGGCTACTTGAAGACTCGAACAGTTGTCCATACACTCTCTTCTCTTCTCTTCTCTTCTCTGACCATGTGTAAAATGAATGAATGAATGGATACATCTGCCCAGCAGTCTGCTTACTGAAAGTCATATCTTCTGTGGTCTGCTTTCAGGATTATAAAAATGTCAGGAATGTATAAACCGAGTGTGCATGCAGACATACAAATACTGTAAACAATAGATAGCAATCTGGAAGCACTTTCAGGCTTGCATACACATTCATAGGCTCTTTTTGTTTATTGCTTTATGTTTTTTTAATTTTGCTTCATTTTTAATCAGTCAGAAATCATGGTTGTGCTAGGACTTATACTTATTGTACTGTTTATCCAAGAAATATTTGTCACTATTTTCTTGTTTTATTATTCCACTAAGATACAGACGGAGCAGTATGGGTCACCTGACAGGATCAGATACATCCACCTCCCAGTCTTTATAAAATGAAGCATATGTGGTCATTTCCATATTGTGAAATCCTTTTGAAGATTTCTCTAAAGAGGCAGAATCAGATGTTTGCTCGGGAACCCTCAGAAGACCCCAGTCCTGTTTGATCTTCACAAACAGAGCCACTTTAAAGTGGAAATGTACAGATGTGCTGTAGTATCAGTATTGACAGGGTTCACTGAAGTCCATACTGGCTTCAAACAGACTCCCTTTCGTGAAATGATAGAACTGCATTAAAATGTTGGAGGTAAACAGTATAAGTTTATAGATTTTGATTGTTTAATTTTTTTTAAATATGATTTTGAATGAGTTTTTAGTCATTGTGCAGCATGTGAAGGGTCATGCAAATACAGAATTCAGTCATAATAAAACAGAAAAACAATGAAATGAATTATAAAAAAAAGATCAAAAGCAAGCACTTTTTACGATCACCTACTTTATCTATTTGAAAAAGAATGTCCATCGTTTGCCTAATATGTCGTAAAAACCTATAGACTAACTAACCTATAGGTTAACTTTCACTTTAAAACAATCACTCAAACTAATCCTGATAATCTTCACAATAAAAGAAAGCAAAACTAAAAGAGTATCACCTGACAAAATTTTAAAGTTATAACTATATACATATATATATATAAACACTTTTCAACTCATGTGATGAGACCATTTGTTTTACTCATCATCCCCTCATGCTGGTGTGTCATATGGTTTTAAGTTATGGAAACACTTTGCTCCGCTATGTGACAGGACGAAGCACTGGTTAGTGGATTCCTGACTATCCGAGGAGTTGTGACCCCCGGTCCTGAGCCCACATTTAGTTTTAGTGAGGAGCTAAAATATGTGGTTTCAGTTTGCTGCCATGAATCACAATAAATGATGAAAAAGAGCGGCAGTTAACAGGCCTTAGCTCTGACACATGTGATGCTACACAGAGCGAGAGAGGATGATGTATGTTGGAGGGGTATTTATATAGATTAGCCTCTATGGGTTAAGTGGGAAGATAATGGAAATAAAGAACAGGTGTGTGTGTGTGTGTGGCTGCACAAGAATGCCTCTCTACAAATCTCACACTTCTCAACCTTTTCAGACATTAAATAGGAAGCAGCTGCAGGTGTTCTTTTTACCTTTTTATACAACACAAACAACGATTAGCATACACACATGCAAAGTCCTTCTTCATCCTATTCTGACAAAGCAATGACACATTTTTTGCCTTTTTTATTGTAATCTGGCAACAGCTTGAATACATTAGTGTGAGACAGAAATCAGTTCAACAAGCTCATGTAATGGATGATTGGCATTTTCTTTATTACTCTTCATTACCTAAATGGAGGGACACATGCACTTTTTCAAAGGCTGTCACTGCGTGCTCTTCGTGTCTGATTTTTGCACATTTCTCCTGAACTATCCATCAAAATAAGTGGAATCTGAATCTGAAACACAAATGCATGAAATGAGCCATGTATTTGTATCTAACTTTTAATTGTTTTTAAAAATTTGAGAGTTTTAAAAGGCACTCATTTGTACAATTCAGATTTTAAAACTTAGAGTGAGATCTTCTGTGAAGAGTAGAAAAAGAAGAGCATAGTACTATATGTAACTTTAAAGTTTTCTTTTGGCATATCACTGTAGGAATAGCCTTGTTAAAATAAAACACATGATATTGCAAATGCTTTTGTTAGCACTGTAAGCCGGTGTTCTGTACCTTTTTCCTAGAGTGTGAACAGAGAAGAGGATCAAAAAGTTGAAATTGAATCAGACTAATATTAGGAAAGTTTTTTTGAGAACAGTGTGCTGGAGAGACATCACTCAGTCTGTGTCTCTTTAAGCTTTGTCTTTTCTGTCTTTTGACTGAAAACGGGGTATAAACCAGCACATTTGGCAAACATAATTGTGTCCACTAGGAGGAGCTTTAACAGGCCTTAGAAAAGAGGTTCCACTACCATCATGGGTCCGTATTACACACTTATGTGCAGAAACTGTAGAATCTGTCGATAAATAAAGTATGCAGAACCTATATGCATATATTTTACATACAGTTTAATGGTTATACATATAAAGTTGCTTTTTTTATTTGACCTTTTTTATTTTTATTTCAAATTCCAATTATTTTAAATTGGGTAAATGGTGTCCTTCCATTATAGACATAAGCAAAAACATTAATGAAACAGTTTATTAATCACTTGCCTATTATTTGACTGCAAACAGCAAGCAAAAAAAATAAAAAATAAAAGAAGCCCAAAAGTGGTTCTTCGCGTCAACAACCCGTCTTGTATTTATTCAGACGTCTGACAACATCAACGTGTTCTGCCCCCTGCGAACCAGCAGCCTCACGGAGCGGAGCGTAGAGCCACAGCGCATAGATCGACCTCCACATACAATTACATCTAAAGACTCCACCTGTAGCCTGCTTTGTGAGTAGAGTCTATCACAGTTGCTTTTCCTTGCAAGAAATCTTTATTAAAAACTTATTTTCAGAAAGCCTTTTGATAAAGAAGAGGCCATCAGTGAGGGATGAGCTAATAGGTGTATTCATAGGCTGCTACTGAAATTATTATCATGTATTTTGGAGCTTCCACAATCGTTTCGTAAGATCTGCTTTTTGTCCTTTTTGATTGATTCATTATTGTGTCATGCACCAGTGCCCATGGGTTTGTAACGCAGTCCTTAATGGCAATAATATAGCTACAGAGGAATACAATGATTAATGAGCATATGGTGACAGAATACAGTTTCCTCTCCCATGCTGCACTTTTCAAACCACCTTTTCCAGCCAGTTGTTTTCAACACAATCTTTTACCTCTAATAAATATGCAAAATTATATTTTTAACCACTAAAACCTCAGTAGGATAGGACACAAACACATGTTCTACATTGACCATTAGCAGTGCTTGTTATTTCCATGATGGTCCCCGAACTATTAGGGTCTAGGGTTCCTTATAAATGTTTTGGATTGAAATTACAACATTATCAGGTTATAGGTTGGTTAAAATAACGGTGACATCTACCGATCTTCATTTAAAAGAAAGTGCAGTTCTATGGTCTCCACGTCTGTGCTCACATGTAACGCAGAGCAAAGCGCTGTTATTGCGGGTTTTCTCATGTTAATGCCTCCAGTTTGTAAGGCATTAACTACTAGGGCATGATAATCTATCCACGGGATCTATTGCCCTTAGGCCTGCTATAGTGGGGCAACAGGAGTCTGAAACATCAGTCTGAAACAGAAAAAAGGGGTAATAATGACTCAGTGTGACTGGAAATCACGGATGCGAGCTGTTATTAAAGGGGCAATTACAAAAATATGTATGTATGGGCATTAGTTATGGCTTTTATTCTTCCAGTTATTGTAAATCTTAATGGCCCTAATGGTCTGCAGGCTTCCACACCTTGTTTATTGACATGAATGATGTGAATGGAGACTTTACGCGCAGGCGGGGTGATGTTTAATCAGATTACTGCTGTGTGTGTGTGTGTGTGAGAGACGCAGAGAAGAGAAGGCGAGTAGAGGAAGGGCCGGTTATGGCAGGCACACCCAGGGGGTAGGTAGGGAGTGCAGTTGCCCGACAGAGACACCTCCAGACCACGTCTGGGAGAGAAAGAGAGGAGCGAGAGAGGATGAGAGAGAGAGCGAGACGAGAGCACGAGAGAGAGAAAGCAGTGTGCACAGAAGTTTTGATTTTAAGTCTGGAAAGTGCAACTCCTCGCTCATTCACACCAGATTCACCAACCCAGCATCAAGGAGAATAACTCAGATTCTTTTCTTTCACTTCTTTTTGGCTTCAGGTGCGTTGTTACGCGGCGCGGACCTGTTGGTACAGTTCGGGCTTCACACTTTTGGATAAAGTCGCGCAAACTTTGCAGGACACCGCGCAAGAAGACAATGCACAGAGTGTGTGTGGAGAGAGCAGCCCGGCCGGCAGTGAGAGGATGATGTGACCCTGTGTAAACTCCAGTGACCACCTCTCTCTCCCAAACACACGTGAAACGGCAGCAGCGCGTCCATGTCCAGGCTCTAGCCAGCATGACTCTGTCCGGCGGTTTGTCGGATACTTGTCAGCTCGTTTTACGCGACCGCATGGAGCCGGAGCTGTGGAAGTAGGGCTTCATCCATGCTTTCTGGGGAATAGTTGGTGCAAACACGTTGTGAAGCAAACAAAGCTACCGTGCACACTTTGGAGAGAGAGCTACGATGCGGGGAACTTTGGGCGCATTCATTCAGTCCTGTCTGATACTCCTGGTCCGGGCAGACCAGTGGAGGTTGAAGGACTCCGCCAACTGCGAGCTTAACAGGAAAGTAAGTCATTATCAAACCAGAATAAGTGGGAAATGACTCTGCTTAAGTGTTGCAAAAGTAGCTCTAATGGTTATATCCACTATAAATTCTTATCTGAACCTCTCAAAACTGCCACATTACCTTTTATTTTGTAGTAGGCTATAAAGTGTCAGTAAGGGCCTTGAAGTGCCATTTCCCATACTCTTCACTTTCTGTTCAAGTTTTCTTCATATTTGTTCCAACTTCTCTATTTTCTGTTGCAGCTATTAATAGGCTACATGTGTAATCTTTATACATTTGAACCCCTTTGCCTAATGACTATTTTCATAATTGATTAATCTGTTTATTTGTTCAATGAATCCATTAACTGGTGTCCAGAACATTTGTAAAAACAGTTTTAAATGCCCATCAAAGTTTTTTTGTTTCATAAATAACTAAAGTAAAAAATTGTCAGAGTTATGGATGATTCATTTTCCGTCAATCCACTAATCATTTCAGCACTAGTTTTGTGTATTGGCTTTGAGTGACATGCAGGTCTTTACACACTGTGTGTATTTGGAAAAATCGCCATCAATGCAAGACCTGTCCTTTTGTACTGTAGTTCTTAACCTCTTACTGACGAGCTTTCAATCTCTCTTTGTTTTTAGCTTGTCAGTCATGTTCTCAAACTCATGCAGACCATTTCAGGTCTGTTCTGGCAGAAACAGGAAGGCCATACATTCAGCCTGCAGTCTGACAATCACTGACATGTGTATTGTTTGTTTGGCACTTGGGTCCCAAGTGGCCTGTTAATAAGTCATTATCAGTCTGTTAGTGGTCAGTCTAATAAACAGCCTCTCACAGACAAAGTGCTGGTTTTGCTGGTTGGTGTCAGACAGGTCCAATATTGGTTCATGTAAAGTAGTGAAAAATGCCTTGGCTCGCTGTTTGTGAATTCACCAGTTCCCCTATATGCCTATCATTTTGTTCTGACTTGCTAACTTTTACTGCTGAAGTGTTTAATCAATTGACAGAAAATGAATATCGTGATAATCAAAGATGACAAACATTCACTGGTTCAAGCCTCTCAAATGTGAAGATTTTCCGCTTTTCAGTGTGTTATATTAGTGTCTTTGGGTCTAAAACTGTGGGTTACAAAAACCAAGCTGAAGACCTGCAGACTTGCGAAGAGGTCTTTTGACTATTTTCTACTATGAAGCCATTAGAAAATGATCAATGCTGAAAATCTTCTGATCTTAATCTTCTTATCTATCCCTCCAGCAAACTGATCTGAACTCCTTCCTGTGGACAATCAAACGGGACCCTCCCTCATATTTCTATGGTACAATCCACGTTCCCTACACGCGTGTTTGGGACTTCATCCCTGAAAACTCAAAGCAGGCCTTCCAGGAGAGCAACATTGTCTACTTCGAGCTGGACCTGACGGACCCTTACACCATCTCAGCCCTGACAAGCTGCCAGCTGCTCCCTCAGGGCGAGAACCTGCAGGATGTCCTACCCAGGGACATCTATCGGAGACTTAAAAGACATCTTGAGTATGTAAAGCTCATGATGCCTTCATGGATGACCCCGGATCAGAGAGGGAAGGGACTTTACGCAGACTACCTCTTCAACGCCATCGCTGGGAACTGGGAGAGGAAGCGGCCTGTTTGGGTGATGCTGATGGTGAATTCCTTAACTGAGGCAGATATTAAGACACGAGGGGTGCCGGTGTTGGACTTGTACCTGGCCCAGGAGGCGGAGAGGATGAGGAAGAGGACGGGGGCTGTCGAGAAGGTGGAGGAACAGTGTCATCCGCTGAACGGGCTCAACTTCTCCCAGGTGAGTTTGACACTGTCCTGATCGGTGCTCAGGCCTCAGGTTTACCTGTTTTTCCATTCACACTCTCTCTGCAGTGTTTGGAATTATCTATGTGTTTTCTGTGTGACCTTTAATCAAGAAATCAGTGTCTTAACAGAAATGCTTAATTGGGAACTCATGATTCAGTCAGTCTGTCTAATACTTGAAAACTTAAGGCTGGTTTTACTTGAAATTTGCTGTGGATGTTTACCATCAGTTTTCTAAATGAAACAATAATTTCATTGCATTCATTCTAGGGATAATCCATTAATTTGCTGATACGAATCATATCGTTCAGTTCAGTTCAAAGATTTATGATTAGTGACGATATAGTTTGTTCTAAACTAAGCAGTTGCATCACCGTTCAAATGGGTTTCAGTAGGTCCAATGGTAAGTGACCGTGTCACTGTTGATACGGCTGCATTGTTCAGTGCTGATTATGTCTTCAGTTCATTCTGTTACTAGTCCAAACTGTCACGTTCAGTTCAGTACAACACTAGTCTATACGAGCACTGTACATAAGGTTAATAGGTCAGTAGCATTATTTGCAAAAGGGTTATTAGATCAGGATTTCTTTCTGTCTTTTAATAGGCTTTTAATGATGAGGTAACGTACTGTGTATTATGGCTGAGCAGTCACCAGTGAAGTGATTTGTTCAGAGACAATCGAGTAGTGAGTTCAGTTTCAAGATTTCTTGTCAAAGATTCATTTGTACATACACTGAACACCTCTAGTAAAGCTGCCACTTTCACTGTACCACTTCCTGCATGTGCTTCATAATAAACGCCTTTACTGTGAAACCATAGGTTTTGACAGTGACATTTGCAGTTAGCTAACATTAGCAAATATTTACACAACATAGTTTTTCTCAAACTAGATTTAGACACTCTCTGCACTTTGACAGAAGGTCATTTTGAATCTTGTAAACACCACCGTTAGCCATATGCCAACCATTTTAGCGCACTAACAAACTTAGCTGGTGTGTTTACCCTCCAGACTTTTTAAGTTTGTTTCAATAAACTCAATGTCAAATCTGCTGTTGTTAAAAGAGATTAAGATATGTAATACCAATGACATAGACCAGATGTATAGATCCAGATTCATTAGTTTAATTTTACAACAGAGGAGAAGTTTTTTTTCCTCTTTTTCCCATAGCTCAGTTGACTGGAGAAAGGTGTGGTGTTAATAATCAGCTGTACAAACATTCAGCCGTGCTCCACCATGTTCTTTGTTATTAAAGAAAAATGGAGCCTAATGACTCAAGTCTGAAAAAAAAGTAACCTTGTTCCTCAAACCAGCATACTTAAGTTCCCATGTCTGCCTGTCTGTTTGTCCGTCCGTGCCCCCTGGTGACCCTTTCAGCATTACAAACATCCCTCAAAGACAGCAGTGACTATGAAATCATGTTGCGTATTATTGAGGAATTTCTGCTAACACTGGTCAGGAGCTAAGGGGATTACACTTGACCATTTACCCTAACACCCAGAAGCTTAAAGTGTTGTTATTTTAAAGCAGGCCTTGTTGGCCCCTCAGACTACAAGTCTCTGCCAAAACCACCCAGCAGCACTTCTATTAGCATTCTCTGAGTCACAGAGGAAAAATGGGGGATGTCAGTTATCATGCAGCATATATAATGAGTCAAATGTAAAAGTACTGATGATTGTTGCCACTTCTTTGCATAGACAGTAAATGTCTTGATAAACACATGGAGTGTGAGTAAGAGTTAGCAATTGCTAGGAGGGAAGATTTATTTCTCTGACTATGAGATAATTTAATTTAGTTTGTGTTATAAACACGTCTGGTGACGAAGCTTTTTCCCATAATGAACAATGAAGTCATTATTTCTCAGATCCTCATTCATGTCTAATTTTTGGCACATCCGATGTAACAATTTCTGGTGTTATTTTAAATCAGTATGAGTGTTTTAGATGAGACTGTCAACACCAGAAGTACTACAGCATCAGCCACTGGTTGACCCTTATCTGCCTCTTGTGGTTGTGCAAATAATGACTGTATTTTCTCTGGGATCTTGGCGTCGATGATTGGATGTACTAGGTATCTGACATTTTACTCCAGGGTGTGCATCACATTTCCTTCATTGGTTTCTTTTAAAGGTGGATTTATGCTTGATCAGATCAGCATCAGATTCTACCCACAGGTTTGGAGTGGAGATAACTTTGCTAGATGTCTGTTTGTGAAAAGGAGAAACTCCTCGGTCTCTCTTCCACTTCCTCAATGTTGTCCTTACTATCAACAACCTCCACTAGCACCAGAAACTTGTAGGGTGAAACACAAGCAGGTAACCCCATGTAGTTTCTCTGTAGCCCCAACTAGTAACTGCAGTTTTGAAGAGGCTTACATCAGCCACGGCTTATTCAGAGTCTATGCACATAGCTGCCAGGTACGCGGTGATTAAAGCTTAACCATGAACATGATCTTTCTCAAACCATAACCATGTGGTTTATTAACCTAAAGGAGGTGGCAGATCATCATAAATCATTTTCATAATAGTCATTTTGTTCTCTTTTAGTGGGCATTAACAAATGACTTATTTTGTTGTTTAGACATGGGGACTTGTTGTTTTGGATATCAGAGAAATAAAGTGGGTGGCTGAAATTGGATTTGTCAACAGAGAGAGAAAACCTCCCGTCATCACAGCTTTCATTGAATTAGGTCCACAAAGCCTCCAGGAGACTCAACAATGAATTCTAGTGTCCCAGAAACAACCCCTACCCTGACATTGCACCAACACAACTCACAGCTTGGCACTCCATAATTTCCACACTCAGTTTCAATCTAATCAACAGCAGCTTTGATGGACGCCTTAACCCTGCTGGCTTGAAGCAGCCCGCTTAATATTTCAGTAAACCATTTTTTTTTTCAGTTGAAAAGGGCAATTCAATTTAAAGCCTTTTAGCTCAACTCAACTGTAAGATGTCCAGATAGAGTGTGATGAGTGAGATACACGATGGTGAAACAATACTGCCGCCTCAGCCGCTATTCTTGACTCAAAATGCTGTTTAATCAGGCTGCAACTATATTTACGGTCTGTAATAGGCTCTGTAATGTTTTCACTGGCCATTTACATCTGGCATCAAACTGACCTTAAAGAAAAGGGAAAGGCCAATGGAAACTAAAATATTTAATGTATTGAAGTAGTGAAAATTTCTCTCCTCATGTCTTTGTTAAAGGGAAACACAGAATGACATATTACCTGCTTGCTCAATTTCAAAAGTTCAGACGTTATGTGGTTATAGTACAAATTAATTTTAAGCAGATTTCTAGCCGGCATTCTCTTCTTCAGTGAAAGACAAACACAACACAGCTGATTGCATGAATGCACCACTCGCTGGGCTGTCACTGGTCTTTGTTTCTGATTTCCACACTGGAAAACCATGGTGGCTTTTCTAGAATCATACCGAAATCTAGTTCAGAGGAAGTTTGAGGTGAGAGTAGGCCTCGCAATCATACTTGGTTTGACCTCTCCAGCACAATTTAAATAGTTGTTGGTGAGCTTTGAGAGTTGTCAAGAGGTGGTAAATCACACCATCATTTGCTGCAAACACAAACTTTAACTTACAGCTCGATTCAGACCCTTGGGGAAAACACATGTTCAATTTGTGATCATCAAACTTCAGCTTGCTGTCTGACTCACATGAGCACCTGATTGTCACTGATTGGACTCTTTGTCTCTATTTTTTCTCACTAAGAACTGAAAGGGTTTTCTTTTTCCCCAACACTGTGACATGCCACTCAGACAGATTCTGATGCATCTTATCAATGTGGCGTCCCACTCATTGAATACGATGCCTTTGCTATGTTATGTAGCCCCTATTTTCTTTGTAGTCCAATAAGTTTGATAAATATTAAGTATTTTGTCTTATTTAGCGGAGGAACTCTTTATTTCAGGCAAGGTAGGGCTTTTCTACTATAAAATGTTGCGAGAAATGCTGCTGATGTCTGTTTGAGTTTCTCTTTGTAATTACATTGAGTTTTTTCTGACAATACTTACCTTACATTTAAGATGTTCTTTAAGCCCACCTACACAGTGATTCTTCAAATGCGGAACAATTAGGAGAACTAATTCCTGTGATACGTTATGGCTTTGTGCAGCTGTGTGCTTAACATCTGTTAGACTTAGGCTATAAGATAGCTTAATGCATTTAAAAAATGGGGTGTTTTTTTTTCTCATCTTACAAGTGACGTGTCCATTTTTGAGTTTGACTGCCACTATAAATTAAGCCCATTAAGCTCATTATTTTCGAACCACAATGAATTATACTTTCTTTACTCAGATCTCTAATCTGGCTAAGCATGACTGCTCTTATTCTTGCATGGTGCCCCTCATCTTTTGAAGAGCGGGCTCAGCCTTGCCCATTACACTAAGTGAGCTTGTTGAGGACAACAATAGCTGTATGAAGGCCGGCTTTCTCTGTCACTGTTGTTGGAAACCCGCGGGACATTCCACACCTCAGTGGAGCAGACCTGCTAATGAAAGTGTTGTTTCTTTCCTCCCATCACTGGGAGTAATGGTGCATGGAGATGTGATGAATGCAGGTCTCAGTGTACGTCTATGAGAACAGGGAAGGAATGTTTGAAGCCCATTTGGTTCATTCATGACGAGGAGAGACTGGAACAAGGAGAGTTGAGATGCAGACTGAGATCAGTAGAGAAGCCATTAAGGAAAGAGGGCGTGACTCCATCTCCATTAAAGGTATCATGACATTACCTATGTTTGACAACCTTGTAACTTCAGTTGTGGTGTTTTCTTTTCACTTGAACTGACAGCCTACAGGGTCTTTGGATCTGCTGGGTTTTCACAAGGCAAGGTCTGGTGAAATCCAAACAAAACCCACTTTTATAAGCTGAGAGAAATGCAAGGTTAAAGCCTGAAAATAAAGTTGTTTTCTCATTTGATGGAGCAATTCAGTTCTTGTTACATTCTGAATTCCCTCTCTTCATCTCTTTCGTAGCCTGAGGAG